AAGAAGAAGAAAAGAAAAAGGGGAAAAAAGGGAAACTAATTTTGGGGAACAAAAACATTCTCTCCTGATGATCCGATGCTGCGACTAGCTGGGACTTCTAACTTCATAGGACACACACACACATACACACACACACACGTACAGGCACACAGAGAAACATAAATAAAAGAAATAAAAGTATTCCACTGCAATGTGGCGTGGCAGAGCAGTCCCGGCGGTCGGCGACTCCCACTGACTCGGACATCGGGAGAGTGAGACGGACAGGTTGCGCGACAGAGTGCGACAGACAGAGCGAGACGGGGCTGTATTTCGGCTGACCTGGCCGTGGCGAGCCACGCGAAGCCACGCCACTTTTACGGTCCAGCGGCGATCTGGCAGTGTTGTTTTTCGTCCCCGAAATGCGAACGAAGGACGCTGGAAGGGTCTGCCGTGCGCTGCCGTGCCGTGCCGTGCCGTGCCGTGCCCTGACCGCTGTGTTGATAGGACCTTTATTTACCCGGCTTCCCCCTCCCCCTCTCTATGACTACACTCCAAGGACACGCAAACCGAATTCGCAGCCAGACGGCCAGCGGGCCCGCGGTTTCGAACACTGCCTTCGCCTTCGAGCTGGTCAAGTTCTCTATCCTGACCGGAGGGACAAGGACAACGCCGGTCTGGGCGCGTGTGTGTGTGTGTGTGTGAGAGAGAGAGAGAGAGAGAGAGAGAGAGGAAGAGAGAGAGAGAGAAGGGGAGAGGGGAGAGGGGAGAGAGAGAGAGAGAGAGAGAGAGAGAGAGAGAGAGAGAGAGAGAGTGATGCGGCGTGTGAACCGACAGCCGGATGGCCGGATGGCCGAACCGAAATGTCGGCAGCGCGCGCATTGATTCAGATTCATTGATTTCGATTCTTCGATTCGATACCTCGCCCTGTGCAATCGACCTGCAGTCGTCACGGCACTGCACGGCACCCATGGCCGCGGCGGAGCGCGGGGCCGCGGCGCAGTGGGCCAGAAGACCGGTGGAGGCGGTCAAAATCCCGGAGACCGTTTTCAGTTCCAGAGTCGCTAAACAAGACTCGAACCGAGCGTGTGACCCCACCAATGGATTTCTCCTTCGGAGAGAAATCCATTGGTGGGGTCACGCGTTCGGTTCGAGGCCTGTTTAGCGACTCTGGAGCTCAAAACGCGTTCAGCTTTTTGGCCGTCTGCGCCGGACTTCTGGCCCACTGTGGAGCGAAGCACTGTTCAAAGGATCGGACCATGGCGACGGACTAACAAAATTTTGTCCCACGACACACTGGAGAGTCGCTTCCAGCGCTCTGCTTCTGGCACACCCAAAAGGGCTTCCCCGCGACGGGGCGAGAGAGACAGAGCGGCGAAAACGGACTCTCGGAATCAGCCTGCAGGCAGCCAGGCCGTGAAACTAAATTCGGCGCGCGTTCCATGTTTGCGTTTAACGCTCGTCGTTGACGAGATACGGCTCGCCGCGCGTCGAATGGTCGAATTCGGGCACTACACCAGCAGCGCGCTGCACAGTGAGCCAGAAGACCGGTGGAGGTGGCCAAAATTCTAGACGCGTTTTGAGCTCCAGAGTGGCTAAATGGGACTCGAATCAAGCATGTGACCCCCGCCAATGGATTGCTGTCCCAACGAGGAATCCATTGGTGGGGTCACACGGATGGTTCGAGTCCTGCTTAGCGACTCTGAAGCTCAAAACGCGTCTAGAATTTCGGCCGCCTCCGCCGGTCTTCTGGCCCACTGTGCGCCGGCACTCGCGGTGTAGTGTAGCAGGTTCATTCACACTGCAGGCGGGGCGCGGCCGGGCCAACAGGCCGCTTGCTCATCTAGCACGCAGCGGAGGCAGCGGAGGCCTGAGGCAGCCTGATTCCGAAAAGGAGGTCTCGTCGGTCTGTCTCTCTCGCACCTACACGGGACGCCCCATGAGAGCGAGAGAGAGACCTTCCCCCTCGGAATCAGCCTGAGGTAGTAAAGCTGCGGTGGCGCCTAGGGGCAGGGCCGGGCCGTGCATGTAGCGGCGTAGCGGCGCGGTAATGGCACTGGGTGTTCCTGCAGAAAGCTCGGGGGGGCGGGCGGGGCGGGGCGGGGCGGGGCGGCTAGAGGGCTGCTAGATGGAGGTACAGATCGGGGGTGGATACAGCCGACAGAGACGAGTGTGCCGCCCGCTGATGTCAGCCCCCGCAGTATGTACCTCAGCAAAACAAACCGCACCACCGCTCCACTGTCTCTGTCGCACTCATGGGCCGGGCCGTGGGGGTGCGAGAGAGACAGAGCGAGAGTGACTGCGGCGCGGCCGCGCCATAACAAAGCTTGGAAACTGCCAGTGTGTGTATCGTCGGCTGCACTTGCTTACCGGTGCACTGGGTTTACTCGTGGCGACAGACGGTCTGGGTACATGCTTGCAACGCACAGTGGGCCAGAAGACAGGCGCCGGCGGCCAAAACTCTAGACGCGTTGGGAGATCCAGAATCGCTAAACAGGACTCGAACCGAACCGTGTGACCCCACCAATGGATTCCTCGTTCGGAGAGCAGTCCATTGGTGGGGTCACACGTTCGGTTCGAGTCCTGCTTAGCGATTCTGGAGCTCAAAACGCGTCCGGGATTTTGACCGCCTCCACCGGTCGGCCCACTGTGCAACGACGACACAGTGTACACACCACGCCCCGTGTTACGGTGTACTGGCCGGGTACGCCGCGCACCTGGTACGCCAGGCACCATCCGGCCGACCCGACCCGACCGTACCGTCGATTCAGTATGCAGGCCCTCGCAAGCCCGCGGCCCTGGCGGGGCTGGCAGGCATCACGACGTCTAGGCCACATTATTCAGGTCGGTGCTCCTCGCTCCCGCCGACGCTCCCTACAGGATCCCATGGGGATCCCTCGGGACCCTTCCCTGCCATTAGGTTGCCCAGGTCCATAAGGTTCCCACGTGAGGCACCTGTGGCCAGTGGCGGTCACCCCTGGCGTGTATAGAGTTGACACACCGCGTTGCCCACATCAGCCATGTGGTTGGGGGCGCATGGTGGGCCTAGGGGCACAGTGCGCTAGAAGATCGGGGCGCAGGTGGCCAAAATTCTAGACGCTTTTTGAGCTCTAGAGTCGCTTTTGAACCGAATGTGGGGGCGCATGCACTGTGAAAATTTGTTGTCACTCTATGACAAAAACGTGGATGGTATTTTCATCACTTTGAAATGATGACATTTTCATATCAAAGCTCCTATACTTATAGCATGGGCGTGACAACAATGTCATCAATTTGATTTGATGACATTGTTGTTGAAATTATCATCAAGTGACGACTCAAATTTTCACAGTGTGGTAGGCCCTCAGGGTAGCCTCACGCCGCGTGGCGTTTGACATTGGCTGCTCCAACTGCGTACCCTGGGTGGCCATCCGTCTCGCAGGTGCGTCCCATAGGGTTGCCACATGGCAGTCATCTTCTGTCGCGGCGGCCGCGAGGCTCGCAAGGCCGCGGCTGGCGCTAGCGCTCACGAGCTCGTCCCGCCACGCCACGCCACGCCACGCCGCGCTACCGGGCCAAATGCGTACCGCCTTCATGTTACCTAACGCTCACGAGCGTGTGCGAGGGCACGCCCCGGTACGCCCGCCCTGCGCCCCAGGTCCGTCCGTCCGTCTGTCTGCTTGTCTGTCCGTCCGTCCGTCCCGATCCCTGCACTGCCCTTGTACACTGCGGGGTGAAGACCCACAACGCGACACCACTGGCGCAACCGCCGCGCCCCGTCTAGCCCCACCCGCCCCACCCCGCCCCGCCTCACCCCACCTCGCCCCGCCCCACCGCGCCCCACCCCACCTCGCCCCGGCACGGCCTCCCTCGCATCAGCACATTTTCTGGCCTGCCCTAATTTACTCGGCTCTGCCACCTCGCGGTGACGACGATGCAGGGCGGGGCGCGAGGGGAGAAAGGTGAGAGAGAGAGAGAGAGTGAGAGAGAGGAGAGAGAGAGAGAGAGAAAGAGAGAGAGAGAGAAAGAGAAAGAGAGAGAGAGAGAGAGAGAGAGAGAGAGAGAGAGAGAGAGAGAGAGAGAGAGAGAGAGAGGCAAACAGTCGGGGCAAACACGCGGCGAGGAGCGAGACAGATAGGGAAGGAAGGAAAAAGGGTTGGAAGAAGGAGAAGAAGGATCTCCCACGAGGTTCAACACAACGGACGAAAATCCACGAAAAAAGATGACAGCAACGCCGAGGAGTTGATTTTGCAGCGAGTACACTAAAGGCCGAAAAAAATCAACAAGGCTGTAGCAGCCGACGTCTCACCACCAAAATTTGCAGGGGAAACGACATCTCGAAGTTCGCTTTTCAGCAGTTCTCCTCATTGTTCCAAGGCGCGGTTTAAGGAGCCTCCGACAGGAGGGGCGAGTGTGTATGTTTTGCCTACCTACAGGGGCATGTGGTGCTGGTTGCCTACTACCAGGCGTTTAGGGGGAAAGGGGGGTGGGGTGGGGTGGAGGGGGCGGTCGCCACCTCACCCCCCCCCCTTTTAACCGCGCCAGATTGGACCAGCAATTTCAAATCCACTTTTTCAGTGGCGCGTTGCCGTTGCAATAACGGATAAGCGGCCAAGTGCCTCTCGAGTGGCGCCTCGCTTTGATCCAAGGAAGGCGTCCGTGGAAAACTTGTCAGTCACGGTGGCCAATCAAATCCCGTTTCGTCTCCCGCGACACACACACACACACACACACACACATGGGGAGAGAGAGAGAGAAGAGAATAGAGAGACAGAGGGAGGAGAGTGACGGAGAGAGAGAGACAGAGAGAGAGACAGAGAGGAGAGTAAGTGTGTGTGTGTGTGTGTGAGAGAGAGAGAGAGAGAGAGAGAGAGAGAGAGAGAGAGAGAGAGAGAGAGAGAGACGTCCAGATAGCTGCCGTGCATGTGGCGTCTTTTGTTGGTTCGAGTAGAGGCGAGATAGGGCCGATAGGGGTGCAAACAGACGTACTACGTATACGAACTGCGTGGCCGAGCGGCGGCGCGTGGAACATTAGAGGCTCCTCGGAAAACAAGGAGGTGGCACGTCGGTGGTAGGCCTGCCTTAGGGCCTGCCAAGCCTGCCAAGCCTGCCACTGCCGCAGTTTAGTGTTCTGGAACTCGCGAGCGAAACGCGAGCGGAAGTCCGACGACGACGGCCATCTCGCAACTTTGGCCCGCAACAATACTCGACGAGGAGCTGCATTTTCCACCTTGCGCTCGCCAATCACGCCCCACACTGTGAGAAATCTTGTGTCCCCTCGGGGCGTGAGAAATCTCTGGAAATTTGAAAACTTGCCCATAAAAAAGGCCAAAAACAAGCAAATTTCGGGCGTAATACCGTTTAAAATCTTGCAAAATCCGACGAAATCTTTAGCCTTCAGAAATCATGTGTCCCCAAACAACCAGTGTGGTTGCCCCCCTCGTCCATTTGCTTGACCACGATAATACTACTATGATTTCTTCGTGTCATATCGACAAAACCTTACTCATCGTCGACGTGACTTTCTTTTACAGTGCGCCAGATGGCGTCCTCAGCCACTTTGTTGCAGAAACGTAGTAGCAGATTAGGGCGTCTTTGCATCGAGATTGCGCTATCGTCATCCCGGCCGCACTACGCCGCGCCAGGCAGGTCGCGCTTTCTTACGGTGTGCGCTTAGCGGGTCACCATGCCGGCACACTGATTCCGAGAGTCGTCGCTCCGTCTCTCTCGCACTCACGGGGCGTCCCGTGTAGGTGCGAGAGAGACAGAGCGACGAAAAGGAGTCTCCGTGGCTGAAAAAGCGACGGAAAAAGCAACGAAACGAAGGAGTGACGCACTCCGCGGGGCGACGCGGCCGTGTCAAGGACGCGCTGGAAGCTCAACACGCATTACCCATGTAAATGACATGTGCAAATGTGCACCCACTCCGACGGCCGAAGAGCGACTCGTCGTATCGTCGCTCTGTCTCTCTCGCACTCACGGCGCTCTCCATAAGGGCGCGAGAGAGACAGAGCGTGCGCGCCACAGCCTCGCGTGGAGCTTCTCCTTGCCGTTCAGGAAGGACTTCGGCGTACTGCCACCTGTGTTACGTAATGCGCGGCTTTGTTTTTCAGTGTCGTGATCAGGGCAGCGCCTTTGTTGCGTGTTTTTGGGCCGCGACGCGTCGTCTGAGCTGTGACGTCGCAAGGCGCTGACACGGAACGGACGGATCGAGGAAGGCGGTGGAGAGAGAGAGAGAGAGAGAGAGAGAGAGAGAGAGAGAGAGAGAGAGAGAGAAAGAAAGAAAGAGAGAGAGAGAGCAGTGTTCCCAGAAATCAATTTGGAACTTTGTCCCCAACGGTACCGCCACCACTGCGGGCGGAAACACGCCGAAAAGGTCAAGGAACGCACGGTAAAAACGGTACCTGGTTTTCCCAGGAGCCCTATGGCGAAGACATAGGCGATTTCCAGGAGGTTCCTGGGAAAACCAGGAACCGTTTTCACCGTGCGTGAAGAAAAGCGCTGCACTCGAAAAAAAAAAAAATCACCCGCCGATTTGACCAAAATTGATTTTGCTGAGCAAAGCGCAGCGTCCCGTTGTTGGGGCTTCCAATAGCTCGGGGCGGCGTCAATCGTCGTTTCGGCAGAGATCTCTGGCAGCCCGGATAACTAAGCCGACTGCAAACTCGGGACGAGTCCTCCTGCCTCAGTGCTCTTAAAACGCGATCGTGTGCCATTTTACTTTTTCATCCTCACAGCGGCATATAAGCCCCGTGACCCAAAAAAGAGGACCCGCCGAAAAAATTGGAGCAACCCTGAGTCGCTACATTGAAGAGTAATCCTGAGATTACACTTCTCGTTTCGCTATCTGGTCGCGACGTCGTCGACGTAGTCGAGGACGTAGTCGTCTGCGAATTCGGGTGCGCATAGTGCGCACTGATAGAGCACCTTCGGCGGAACGAGGGAAGCTTTTTGGCGTGTAGGCGTGCCGTTTCGCTCTGCTGTCCTTCACAGCGGCGTGACGCGTCACGTGACACGGCGTCACGTCACGTCACGCCCCACTTCACCGCGTGCAGCAACCGCCCAAAAGCCCGCCGTCACTCCGCCGAGCCATGTGACCCCGGTTCGAATCCCGGCTGCGCGATGCTGTCTTTTTATTTTGCAGGCAGGGGTCGCGTGCCCCTCCCTTGCGCCACCCTGGGCCCCAGGGCTGGGCCTGGGGGTCACTAGGCTGCAGAGCACTGCCGAGTGCCGACTCCCCGATTCGATGCTCTAGGTATTTGGCACGGGCCGCCGCCTACACTGTACGGCAGCCAGCAAGCCAGCCAAGCCGGCCAGGCCGCGTGTACGTGCACGGTGCGGCCCGCGGTGCGGTGCTGTGGTCCCTCGGTGCCTCGGCCCGGGAAAATAAAAATAAGGTGAGCGGGGAAGAATGTGACTAGGAACAATGATGCCTGCCCAGGGCCAAGGCCGACGAAGCCTCGGGCGAGGACAGCCGCGGGGCGTTCGGCGCGCCAGCACCACGTCCTCGGACGTGCAGGGAGTCCTCGACGAGCACCACGTTGTCGACGTGCACCTCGTCCTCGACGTACACCACGTCCTCGACGTGCACCACGTCCTCGACGTGCACCACCGTCCTCGACGTGCACCACGTCCTCGACGTGCACCACCGTCCTCGACGTGCACCACGTCTGCGACGTGCACCACGTCTGCGACGTGCACCACGTCCTCGACGTCCTTGACGTGCACCATGTCCACCACGTCCTCGACGTGCACCACGTCCTCGACGTGCACCACGTCCTCGACGTGCACCACGTCCTCGACGTGCACCACGTCCTCGACGTCCACCACGTCCTCGACGTGCACCACGTCCTCGACGTGCACCACGTCCTCGACGTCCACCACGTCCTCGACGTCCACCACGTCCTCGACGTGCACCACGTCCTCGACGTCCTTGACGTGCACCACGTCCACCATGTGCTCGACGTCCACCAGGTCCTCGACTTCCTCGACGTTGTCCTCAGTTCCGAGGGGACGCGGCACCCTAACCTAGCTGCCCACCAGATCAGCAGGCCGCGCGCAAACGAAAATCTGGCGAATCGCATCCGTGAATCCGAACACAACACGCGGCAGCGAAACGGCTTCCAGACGTCGGTAAGGCGTACGCGAGGCAGCAGGCGGTCCCACAGGCCCGAAGGCGCGCCCGAAGGGGAGGCTGGCGGCACCGGCTGGCGGCAGGCAGGCAGGCGGCCTGCGAGGTCAATGCGGCCTTCCTTTGCATTATCGAGCAGTGTAGGCCCAGAGCCCCCGCAGCACCGAGGCCCCACGGCATGCCCCCCGCAGCCCCAAAGACACAGGAAAGTTTCAAGGGTGGCTCGGCCGCCTAAGCACTAAACAAGCTATTCCTGGACAGCAACAACAAAGAAATAAGCTAAACGGAAAATAGACGATAAAACCCGCAGAGCCTCCCAAACCCTACACAAACGGGAAATTCCGCGCTGGAGGTTTTGGCAACGTAATCCCAAACAGGAAAGCCGCGCGCTACGACTGCCTGCTTGGGCTGTTGCAATCCCACTGGAACCTTCAGACGACCTGTCAATACAGAGCGACAGAGTCGATCAGGAGGGTGGCCTAGTAAGCCCCTCATTGCGGGTTCAAACGCTGCCGGCTTCTCTCCGTCTTATTGTTATTGTTGTTGTTGTTGTTGTTGTTGTTGTTGTCGTCGAGGCCGGTGGTTGCACCTCGTCTTGCATAACTCGGCTGTGCCATCGATCCGCCGACTGCGAATAATGAATGGCGTGCTGCCGATACTGCCTTCTTTGGAATCCACGATAAAGGGAGAAGCCTCGCGTCTTCCGGGAGCGGCAGGGCGTGCCAAGGGCGTACCCAGGGCGTACCCAAACCCAGGGCGTACCCCGGGCGTGCGGGCGTACCCAGGGCGTACCCAGGGCGTAGGGCGTACTACACAGAGCGTACCCATAGCGTACTCAGGGCGTACCCAGGGCGTGCCCAGGGCGTACCCAGGGCGTACCCAGGGCGTACCTAGGGCGTGCCCAGGGCGTACCCAGGGCGTACCCAGGGCGTACCCAGGGCGTACCCTGGGCGTACCCAGGGCGTTCCCAGGGCGCAGCCCGCACTCCGCATCGACAAGCGATTAGAGCTCCGGAAGGCGTGGCGAGTGACGAGGCGGGGTGGGGCGGGTCGTCACAGTGCTCGCATCCTTCCTTGCGCACGCAGGCGTATACGGCCGCGGTCTGTCTCCGTGCCGAAAAAAACGACAGCAAAAAGCAAAGAAGACATCTAGGAAGAAAATGCGAAAGAAAACTGAGAGAAATATGTCCCTCTCTCCTTAATGATCGCGTGGCCCTCCCGTTCAACGAAAGCTTGCCGGTCGCGGAGGCCCACGGAGGTCCATGGAGGTCCATGGAGGTTCATGGAGGTCCGTGGAGGTCCGTGGAGGTCCATAGAGGTCCATGGAGGCCCATGGAGGTCCGTGGAGGTCCATGGAGGTCCATGGAGTTTCATGGAGGTTCATGGAGGTCCATGGAGGTCCTTGGAGGTCCATGGAGGTCCGTGGAGGTCCATAGAGGTCCATGGAGGTCCGTGGAGGTCCGTGGAGGTCCATGGAGGTCCATGGAGGTCCATGGAGGTCCATGGAGGTCCATGGAGGTCCATGGAGGTCCGTGGAGGCCCATGGAGGACCATGGAGGACCATGGAGGTCCACGCCGCGGGCCACCTTGCCTCATGGAGCCGCCGATTGGTCACGCGTTGCGCCGTTGTGCGTTTCGGTTCCCTGAGAGAAGCTCCCTGAGGCGAGGCGCGTTCCTGACCTTCGCACTGCCGAGCCATGCCGGTGTCTGCCCGCCTGGGACTCCTGTGAGAGAGACGGCCTGTCCGCACCACAGAGCGCTCGCCTGGCTCCCTCGGTCAATGCCTGCCAATGCCTACCAAGGCGTGCCTACTGCCTGCCTGTCGCCTGCCATGTCTATTGTATACCTTGGCCATGCCTATTGCCTGCCAATACTGAATGCCTGGCCTACCAATACCAAACAGGGAGTTGCCTGCCAATGCATATTGCCTGCCAATGCATATTGCCTGCCAATGCCGAATGCCTACCAATGCCTCAGGCACACCTATTGCACACTATTACCTATTGACTGTCAATGCTCATGACCTGCCAATGCCAATACCACCTGCCAGTTCTAAATGCCTACCATAGTGCCTATTGCCTGCCGTTGCCTGCCGTTGCCTGCTTCCTGCCGTCGCATCGGAGCGCTTGCAGGCGGCACCTTGGACTTTACCTGGCCGGCCCATTATGCAGGAGGACGGCGAGGCGGCGCGACGGCGTCCTCATGACCATGCATGCCGACCATACAGATCGAGCGTCACGTTCAAGGGTTCGAGCCCCGGCGCCGGCGCGGCGTTTTCTGCGCTGGTCACGTGGTCACGCCACGTGTAGGCCGGTCTCGGCTCCGCGGGACCCAAAGGGGCGGTGCGGGTCGATACTCCGACCTTTGGGTCCTCTGGGCGCGCGGCGCAAGACCCTCACGCCGGGCGCGGAGGCGGGGCGGCAGCCCGGAAGGCTGGGTCGCTCTGTCTCTGTCGCACTCATGGGGTTCTCCGTAAGGGCGCGAGAGAGACAGAGCGACAATAAACTGCTCTTCTGGATCACCCGGCCGCCGTTGCGTTCAATTATCCATACACCTCAGCAATCCCACTCTCCTTCCTTCCCTTATTACTCTTCTGACCCTGGCCTGATGGGAGTGGCCGAACTGGGGCCGCCCAAACCTCGCAGCGAGTGAAAAACAACAACGCAAACAACAACAACAACAACAACAACAACAACAACAACAACAATGAAAGGGCGGAAGTGCACCGCGGGGACGCCGGCGAGCCCACTCTGTCGGAGGCGGCACACCGTCGAGAAGAACGAGGTGCCATTGAAAACCAGGGCAGAACGTTTCCAGGAGCAGCAAGAAAGTTCGGGCTAGAATAATAACAGTTCGCCGAATTTTCGACCCCGTCGAAAAGTTGTGTGACTGCGCGACTACGAACAGCGTGCAGGGCAACGCAGCGCAGTGGGCCGAGGACCGGCGGCGGCGGCCACTAGACGCGTTTTGAGCTCCAGAGTCGCTAAACAGGACTCGAACTGTACGAGTGACTCCACCAATGGATTGCTCTCCGAACGAGGAATCCATTGGCGGAGTAACACTGTCGGTTCGAGTTCTGTTTAGCGACTCTGGAGCTCAAAACGCGTCTAGAGTTTTGGCCGCCGGCGCCGGTCTTCTGGTCCAGTGCACGCTCGGCCCGTCCAGACCAGACCGGCCCTGCCGGGGAAAAGCAGCGTGACGGACGGCAAAATATTTCCCTAGTAAATCTTCCCAGTGCCCCGCGGTCACTGGAGGAGAGCGTGGCTGGAGAGCGCTGGAGAGGGACGTGGCGCGACTGGAGAACAGCGAAAGTGAGATTGAGGGTTGTGGCGCCAGCCAGCCAACTAGCCATCCAACCAGCCCACCAGCTAGCCAGCCAACTAGCCAGCCCGCCAGCCAGGCAGCCAGCGAGGCAGCCAGCCAGGCAGCCAGCCAGGCAGCCAGCCAGGCAGCCAGCCAGGCAGCCAGCCAGGCAGCCAGCCAGGCAGCCAGCCAGGCAGCCAGCCAGGCAGCCAGCCAGGCAGCCAGCCAGCCAGGCAGCCAGCCAGGCAGCCAGCCATCCAGCCATCCAACCAGCCATTCCAGCCAGCCCGCCAGACAGCCAGCCCGCCAGCCAGCCAGCAAGCAAGAAGTGCAACTGGAGAGGGGGCGGGTCCTAGGCGGGCGGCTTTCCGAAGCGGTCGGGGCTTTTATCGCTGGACTCTTTGGAGTCTTGCTGGTGCAGGCGCGAAAAGCAACCCCTCTCCATGACGTCAGCCGGGACAAAAGGGTGGAGTGGGCAGAGGAGGGGTGGGGGTGGGGGGAGGGCATCGACTAGCGCTAGAGGGGAGGTCCAGACATCCAGAAGGGAAGCAGACAGACGCCCACTCTTAGTTCGACGGCTTCAGCCGAGACGTGCGAATTTTGCTCCTACACGGCTGACACGGTTCTTCGTTTTGAAAGAGAGAAAGAGAGAGAGAGAGAGAGAGAGAGAGAGAGAGAGAGAGAGAGAGAGAGAGAGAGAGAGAGAGACGGGGTTGGTCTGGTGGTCGTGGTGGTGGTGGTGGTCGTGGTGGTGGTCGTGGTGGTGGTCGTGGTGGTGGTGGTCGTGGTGGTGGTCGTGGTGGTGGTGGTGGTGGTGTGGCATGCGGACCAGGATGAGGACGACGATGGCGACGAGGAAGCGAGGATGACGATGGCCAGGATGCAGGCTAGGAATGCTCGGACGCAGCCTTGTGACACACCGACACACCGCCACTCGCGGCTGCCTGCCTGCCTGCCTGGCTGTCTCCATCTGCTCTGACGACGTTACAAATAACCCCGCCAGCCGCGGCGGCCGCCCCGCGCGATGCTCGCCACGCTGGCGATGCCCACTCTAGCGCGCTAGCGGTGCACAGTGGGCCAAAAGACCGGTGGAGGCGGCCAAAACTCTAGACACGCTTTGAGCTACAGAGTCGCTAAACAGGACTCGAACCGAACGTATGACCCCACCAATGGTTTGCTCTCCGAACGAGGAATCCATTAGTGCGGTCACACGTTCAGTTCGAGTCCCATTTAGCGACTCTGAAGCTCAAAACGCTTCAAGGGTTTTGGCCGCCTGCGCCGGTCTTCTGACCCACTGTGCGGTGGCGGCGGCTCGCTGAGGCGGTCCGCTGGGCTAGCCGGTCCTGGCTACCGAAAGGGCGACCGGGCTGCCAAGACCCCGCCCTGCCCCGCCCCGCCCCGCCCCGCCGCGGTGGATACACAACCCCCACCTAGGCCCTACGCCCCGAGTCTTGTTTTGCAATATGGGAGGGAATATATATAGCCGAGCCCCTCCCCCCACCCCCCGGCACACCTCCCCCGCTGCTTAAACACCGCGCACGGCGCGCAGCGCGCTCAAGATAACAGTGTCGAAACAATCGCCTCTTTCTTTCGATTCTT